CGTTGGTCTTGTTGAATAATAATAGTTTCATATATATATATATATATATATATATATATATATATATATATATATATATATATATATATATATATATATATATCTATGTATGTATGTATGTATGTATATATAGGGGCCGGTTCCTGTGAGAATGCACCTTGTGGAGAGAAATGAGAATGAAATCTAGCCGTTGGATCTGATGCATCGTGCGGCTCAGATTGCATCTGCGCTCAGATTTTGAGATAGTGCATTTTCAAAGGATTATGATGCATTTCGACGTGATGCATTTTCAAATCATTTTGTTGCACCTAATTTTGATGCAATCCTGACCCTTAGATCGCACAATCTAAAGCACCAGATTCATTTTCATTTCTCTCCTAATAAGATCGCATTCTCACGAGAACCTATATATATATATATATATATATATATAAAAGAAATACAAGAGAGAATCTTAATCATTGTAGAATAACAAATATAGAAATAAAATGAAAAATAGCATATGGTGGAAACAATATACTCCCTCCGTCATATATCTTTCTTCCCAGAGCACTATTCCAACTTCATGGGAATTTATATTTATTTGTGTTTTTTCATGGCCTATATGATAAAATAAAATATTCTTGTCACCACTTGTTATGTTGAACTTTTAATGTAGTTTTTAAATATCTCTATACCAATATTTGAATAAAATAGATTGAAAAAACTTGAGATTTTACTTCGTTTTGCGCAACGGGAAGAAAGATATAGAACAGAGGAAGTAATATTAAAGACAACATATACTATATGGTTTAATTCTAATTAATTAGTGAGTGGCAATATATATACTGTTGTTGTTTGATCGGACGGGACAGGAAAATGGGAGAGAACTGTTGGGAGAGTGGCCAAAATATAAGGGAGGAGACAAAGACAGCTTGCTTAGCATTATTATACGGCTTTAATGAAATTATACGTAGTATATATAATGGCGCGCGGGGTGGGTTAAACACGAGAAAAACATGCCCACAAGGGGCCACGTACGTTTTGGTTAAACATTAATGATTCGCCCCTAAATATTTGTCAATTTTTGATTTTTTTTAATTAAAATTGGTAAACTTTACCTTTAAATTAAATAAAAATGATATTAGATATTGATACAAGATATTTTCATTAGATTTATTATATACAATATTTTTTAAAATATTATTTAATTTAATTAATATACAATATATGTTTTATTTAATTATAGGTCAAATGTTAAAAATAATTAATTGAAAAAAATCAAAATTAGACAAATACTCAGAGAGAGATGTAGTACATGGTATGGTATGCTCACATTAATAATTAATTTAGTACTTGTCGCACTTATTATTAGAATTTTTGTAATATGGGACGAAAGTCATCGATCATGGCATGCACTTAGATTTGTTCAGCAAAGTATATTACATTAGCTAGCTAGTGGATTGCGGTGTCTAGTAGGAAGCATTGACGATGTTGCTTCCTGGTCTCATCCCTCAGGTGTTTCTTTATCACTCAATCCTAGCATAGGGGACACCAAATTAGTGTCACCATTTTTTGTATACCCTAACATTTTTGTTTTATTTTCACATCCATAATTTCTTCCGTCCCAAAATATTTTTTCAAACACAACATCAAAAGTTCTTCAAAATACGAAGTGACAAGATCAATATTTTATTTTATCTAATACGGAGCAATCAATAAAAACATACAAATAATTAATTAAATTTGCTATGATTTTTTATTAGGGAGCTGTAACATTCTTCTTTGGAATGATAAGAATATATCTACTGTCTTGAGTCTCGTAATTAATACCGAGTATATTATCTTTTGTACTTCCTCTGTCCCATAAAAAAGATTAAGTTTTAGTTTTTTGCGCATCCCAAAAAACACGTCTACCCTCGATCATCTAAAATGCCTAAAAATTACCACATTTACTCTTTATTGTGGGTAGGAATCGTTTTGAAAGTTTTTTGGCGTTCGAGACGATATAGAAGTGTTTTATGAGATGCACAAAAAATAAAACGTAACCTCTTTTATGGGACGGATGGAGTAATACTTAATTGTGGATGTGAGTTACTATACGGAGTACTAATGTTCAAAAGGTGATTTTTAGGGTTTTACGTCGTTTATCTCCAACTTTTCATAATGTGCATGTTTTTCGTTTAAACTTTTAAAAGAATACCATTAGTCACAAATTCCTTATACTTTTTATAAAGGGGGAATTTACTTAACTAGCACTAAAACATAATGACTTTCTCTAAATAGCACCCCCACATGTGTTTATCTTCCCAATGTAGCACCTTTAGTCATTATTCAAGTAAATATTCTTCATTACTGGACATTGTGGACATTATTAAGTGTTATTTAGAGAATAAAACAATTTAAGTGCTATTTAGGGAAATGACTTAAGTTTTAATGTTATTTAGTGTAAATATTTCTTTTATAAAATGTGTGTCTTACTTCCAAGCTCTTTATAAAGTGCATATTTTTCTCCCGAACGTTTAAAAAAATCTTGTTAGTCCCTATAATTATCATAGCGTACCTGATTTCCTCCCGAATTTTCAAAAGTGCATCATTAATCATATTTTTTAAAATGATGCATGTTTGAAACCTTAAAAATTTCCTTTGGTTAAACAATGTCTTTAACCAAACTTGAATTGAATAAAAAGAAAAAATAACTTAGAAGACATAGTTGCTATCATATGCCTGCTTGCTAGAATCTATTCCTCATGCCTCGGTTGACAAGGCCGCTAGAGGTTGATGAAATAGTCGTCATTCATGAACTTGTTTTTTTCAAGAAATTATACACATTAGTACATGTGAGGTTCTCAAGAAATAGCCGGAGAATGTATGAGGCACTTTTATAAGTTCAGGTGAAAATATGCATTTTATGAAAAATTAGTAGTATCATAAAGATATGATTGTTGACTTGAATGTTGCCAATTTACTCGAAAGATTTACTGTGATATTTTGAACACATTCCTTTAAAATAATTTTATTTAAATTGAACAATTAGAGCTGGATGTAAAGCACTAGAGTCTGCTTTTTGTTTGTTTGTTAATTGTTAATTACAAGATCCGGATTTTTTTTTTTTTGGGAGTGCAAATACGGAGTGGAGTATGTTTAATTAAAGCCTTAAAGGCAACTCTTAACATTATTTTCCATCAAGAAATAAGGTGAAGTGATGGTAAGACCAAACTTTTGTTCACTTTAACAACGACATGTTTTTCGTAATTGCTGACTTATTGACAAACATGTTTTATTTGGGATTTGGCTGAATATGCGTAAAACAATCCAAATTCTTTTGTAGTACCTCCTTAGTTGATACTTATTTTATACTCCCTCCGTCCCCAATTTGATTACAAATTGCGGGTTACGGAGTAAAATTTCCTACTTTTTGAAATCATTTTATTTACAAATTGGTATATCAATAAGTTATAAAAATTACATATTAAAAACCTACGTCAAAAGTTCTACAAAATAAGAGGTGACAGGAATATTTTATTTTATCAAATACTTGATGATATTGCGTAAACAAACAAAAGTTATCGAGAGGAGAGAGAAAAAAAATTGTAATCAAATTGGGGACGGAGGGAGTAAATATTAATGCATAAAATAATTGTATATATGGAGTCATGTAAAAAGAAAGTAATCGATTTAGAATTCATGAAAATTTTGTGAGAAAGTCCATAACGTATACATAACGTATAGAGAGGGAATTGACAACTTTTAGGGTGGGGTTGGGAGGGGGGAGGGGTGAGACTAGGGTGGGGCCCGTGGGGGTTTAGGGGGTGGGTTAGCAACAAATGACATTACTTTTACACATGACATTAACTTAATCGATTGGGGACGGAGG